TGAAGCTCCAGATACAGAGGTGAGACCATCTGTCCTGTAACCCTTAACAGAAAACTCAAGATGAGGAAATTAGGCCACTCTAGCATTTGCATCACAGAAACTTCTCAGAGGCTGGTTCCCCAATCCTGCAGAGTCCAAGCACTGTGTGGGCGCACACTTATCATTAGCTGGAGAGAAAAGGGCAGAGAAGGAAAGGGAAAGGGGAGTACCTCTCCAACTTCCAAGACTCCTGGGCAGCTGGAATCCAGCCCAGAGCGGCTACAGCCAACACAGCCTCAGGATCTCCTTGGTGCCAATGTCAGGCTGTGTGGAGCGGGGCTTCTGCTGACCTGCAGGACACTCCGCGGACCCCCTCAAGGTACAGTGTACCCATCTTCCCACTTACTCAAAAAAATTAGTGGTTTGGGATTCAGTTTTTCCTTTTCTCCCCTGCATCATGGCTACGCATGAACTCCATTTTTATTGTATTGCAGGTACACTAGTCAAGTGCCATGTAAAGAAGTAGGCAGGATGTGAGAAAAATTACAGCATCCCTTGCATTTTTCCGACATAGAAGAAATACACAGTAACCAAAAGACTTCATGTCCACAAAGGAATACATTCTTTGCTGTTCTTCTTGGCACAGGAGTCTCTCAAGCTATCTTTTTACCCTTTCTGGGTAGACACACAGGTGGAAAGAGCTCTTACAACTGTGCCAGTGCCACGGTCCCCTGCCTCCAGGATGGGGGACACTTTAGGGAGTGGAAACCAGGGGAACTGGAGTACACGACCCTGTTCTAGGGAGAAGACAACTCTAGGATAGCCTCTGGGAATTCTTGGGGGCCAAATATTCAAAAACTCTCAAATTTCAACATTGGCCCGGTTTTCTTCTTACTTCTGTGCTGACCCCTGAGAACATCCTGCTGGTTGGGTAGACTCCACCCCCACAGTGTGTAACCAGGGAAGTGGTGTGCTGAAAAGATAGCTTGTGGTGAAAGATAGCTAAAGAACAAAGTGTTGGCTGTAGCTCGGCTCTCAGCTAAAGGTCGTGTGAATCAGCAGAGACTGGTAATAATGTAGATTCTAAGAATTAACAAGTTTGAGTTCAAGTCCTGCCTCTACTCTTACTAGCTGCAAGGTCTCAAGTAAACAACTAACCTCTCTAAGATCAAGCCCATCTGCAAAATGGGCTGACAATACCCAACTTAGCAAGATTTGTGGGAATTAAAAATGTGAAGACTATTACACACTCAAATAAGTGTCAAATGTCCTTCCCCCTTATCTCTAAAGAAACAACTTGGCAAGTTTTCATCCTTTAACAATGCTCTGTTTTCATCTTGTAGCACCACCGCTGCACCTCACTGGGTGGGATGCAGTGTTATTGAAGAAAGCAAAGTGCTTACAAAGAATTACAGATGCGTGGCAAACACCATTTCCCAGCATCTGTGGGCCAAGAAAGCAATTTTCTTTCTTTCTTTTTTTTTTTAAAGATTTATTTCTTTATACAAGAGCTGGGTACGGGTTTGGGAGGGTGAGAGGATTCACCAGAGACAGAGCGGGGAACAGAACAGGCAGACTGACCAAAAACACTGCTGAGGGGAGCAGCGGGCGAGACAGGAGAGGTCTGCGGGGCCATGTGGGTACCTCCCTGGCCATCCGGGAATCGAACCTGCAGTGCAGAGGGTGAGGACTGCTTCACAGTGCTGTGCTGCGCCACCAGGGAGGCCCCAATTTGCTTTTCTAATGTGTTTCTACCCTTCAATAATGGGAAAGGGGGAAAGACAGTACTGCAATTGTGGTCATTCCTGAAAAATGGCTGTTAGCAATCAATGCGAGTGTCCAATGCCACCTTCTTCACCCAGAGAGTAAACATTAGGTCACTGCCCGGTCACATAAGGGCCCAGCAAGTTTCTCTTCTCTATGCTCCTGTTTTAGGGAACTGAGGTAGAAAATAAAGTCACTTAACAGTTGCATATTTCTTTTATCCACACAAAGAAAACTGTACTCCAAATCAAACTATTTCACTAAAATAACATCATGAATTCCTATAGTACTTTCTAGCTGTAAGAAGATTTTTGTTAGCTCCCTCATTATTTTCCCAGACACTAACAAAACTGGGATATGCCTTGGCATTTCTTCAATGAAATCTGACTTAAAAGCCTCTTTATAGCTTATTTTATACCAGTTAATCTACATGGGGAGGTTGAAGGGGTTCATGTAACACTTCAACTTTTAGCTGCTACAGATAGCAGTCATTCGGCTTGTTTTGTGTTAAAGAAAAATTAAAATCAGTTTCACTGAAGGTATTTAGGAAATGTGGGTTTATCTTTAAGGAGTATGTCTCCCCTTCCTCTCTCTATTGATGTTTAATAGCTCCCTCTTACAATCATCACTTTTCCAAATGACTAATCAAATATGACAGAATGGGTAGGAATTATATGATAAATTCAGAGGAAAAAAAGCAGGGTTCTTGGAAAGAAAAAGAACAGAAATTTTTAGGAGTCAGTTCTTACTGAGTATTTACACAGCAGGATGCTGAAGCAAACAAGGTAAGGACAGGAACAAGGTAAGACACACAGATAAGATTTCCTCCAGGTATAAGCAGATCTCCAATCACCTGGGATTTGTTGATACAAAGTACACCTTTCACTGATGTACACAATGCTTCTAGAAGTGCACACAAATCCTAAGTATACATGAACCAATTATGCTGAGCTCTGTTTTTTGATGAGTAAAACCTGGAATGGATTTGGGCACTTCTGAAAAATCACTAACACATTTCATACAACCTGTGTGTTTGGAGACAACTGAAGTCCCAGGCTTGTTAATACCTTTTGTATAAAAAAAGCTGACCCAGCATCCACCTGCATAAATTTGATCCACTCAGCTCTATCACACTCAGCAAATATCCCGTGCCTTCTGAGCCACACAAAGCAGCACCCCCAGAGGAACAAAAAGATGACTTTCATGAATCTGGAGAGGCAACCTTTACACCCAATTTACAAAGGGTAAGGAGAGTCTGTGGAACACGATTAACAGGGAATCACTAGTGCTCTTCTGAACCTACAGTCTGCAAAAGAGCCCTACAGGTGGTGGCGGTGTTACTTTTAAAGGAAACTGCCAAACACACAAATGAAGAGATAGCTTAAGGAATTCCACATCTCCTAGCCTTTTCACAGCTTCAACTATTAACTCATGGTCAACCTGTTTCCATTTCATTCCCCACCCACCAGACATCTCCACTAACAGTTATCCAATCTGATTATTTTGAAGCAAATCCTCAACCTAAATGTCAGGGGCCCCTAAACTTCAGGGGCCTCCCTAGTGGCACAAGGGGTTAAGATTCAACCTATGTAGCTATCCGTAGCCACTGCAGTACAACTTCGATCCCCGGCCAGGGAGCTACCCACATGGCACAGTAGACCTCTCCTGACTAGCCCGCTGCTCCCCTCAGCAGTGTATTTCAGTCAAGCAGCCTATTCTGTTCCCCACTCTGTCTCTGGCGAATCCTCTCACCACCACCCCTCCCTCCACACACACACCTCTGGCCTGTACCCCGTTCCTGTATGCATAAATAAATAAATCTTTAAAAAAAAAGTCAACTTCGATATGTATTTCTCAAAATCAAGCATTAAAAAAAAAACAAAACAAAACTGTAATCATGCTACCATTACCAAAGGTAATGAAGCAAAAATATCCTTAATAGTGTCAAATCAGAGGCCTCCCTGATGGCTCAAGGAGTTAAGTCTCAGCACTATGAAGCCATCACTGGCCACTGATGCACTGCACAAGTTTGATCCCTGGCCAGGAAGCTAAGCCACATAGTGCAGCAAACCTCTCGTCTCATTCTCTGCTCCCCTCAGCAGTGTATTTCAGCGGATCTGCCTGTTCTACTTCCCACTCTGTCTCTGGTGAATCCTCTCACCCCACTCCACCCCCAACGCACACCTCTGGTCTACACCCCAGCTCTTGTGTGCATAAATTAAAAAAAAAAATCTTAAAAAAAAAAGTGTGCCAAACTGGTCCAACCACTGTGGAAAGCTGTATGGAGATTTCTGGACCTACTAAACATAGAGCTTCCATATGATCCAGCAATTCCACTCCTAGGTATTTACCCAAAGGACACAGAAACATCAATTCCAAAGAACACCTGCACCCCTATGTTTATAGCAGCACTATTTACAATAGCTAAGCTTTGGAAACAACCCAAATGCCCAAAAATAGATGACTGGATCAAGAAGATGTGGTACATATATACCATGGAATATTACTCAGCATTCAAAAAAGATAAACACATGCAATTTGCAGCAACATGGATGGCGCTGGAAGGGATCATGCTCAGCGAAATAAGCCAAAAAGAAAAAGAAAAATACCGGATGGTCTCACTCATAGCAGGAATCTAGAAAACTTAAATAAGGGACCAGGAAAATGAATAACTACAAGAAAGTGAAAATCAAAATCAACAAAAAACTATGAACCAGAGACACTTTTAGGGGGGCGGGGGTGGGAGGGGAGGGATTGGGGTCAGAATGGGGGGGCTGCAATTGTATGGGGAATATAACAATAAAATTTATTAAAAAAAAAAAAAGTGTGCCAAATCATCAGTAAAAATTTCCTCTATAGGCTCAATTTTTAAAAACATTTTTTTCATCAAATCAGAATTCAACCAAGGTCGATGTATTATTGCGTTGCACTGCGGAGCTATATGTCTTAAACAGTTTTTAAACCATAGGTTCTCTAGTCCCTGGCAGCTAGGTTGATCCCTACTGGCAAACCCCAATTCTGTTCTGGAGGTAGCACAAAGAAATTGGGTCTTAGAGGTGTCCCCAAAAGTAAAGCAAATTAGATACGTGTGTGAGAGTGTGTCTCATTTTTAAAATTTAATGTTTTTTTTAATCTGAAAAATAAGAGCAAAACGATTTGACCGGAAGCAATTAGCAATTCTGAGACCCAAACACTCATTCGCAAGGCTTGTGCAATTCTCTGCGATTTGGGCAACACATCCTCTCCGCCCCCCTTACCCGAGTCTTCAGCAGGAGGTTGGGCGAAGCGTCCGCGTTTCGTCCCGGCTGTCCATTCCTCTGCAGGCCGCCGAGGCCACCTGCCCAGGTGGGAAAAGGTGCTTCAGCCAACGAGATCCGAGGGCAGCCCCAGGTTACCTGGCGACAGTTTTGAGGTAGCTGAGCAGGTCACAGAGGAAGAAACCAGAACGCCACGTCTCTGAGAACAAACAGCCCTGCAAAGCTCTGGGGCTTAATCCCAGTGCCCGAGGCGAGCAGGGTCACCGTCCCCCAACACCCGAGGTCCGGGAGATGGACGCCAAGTCCGCCCCCCAATACACGGGGGTGTGTCCGTGTCGGTACACACCGGCCTCGCTGTGCAGAAGTGTGAAAAGCACATAAGCCTTTTTTACAACATCACCTGTTTGAAAAATAATGTCTAATGCCCCCACCCCCGGGAAGCAGGGGGTGCCAGTGTCTGGGCGAGTGTACGCCCAACCCAGGTCACCAGACCGGTGCCCACCCCCGCGACGGACCCCAGGCGCGAGGGGGCGACTAGCAGCCCGGGCCCCGCCCCGCTCCCGGAGCGCCCGAGGAGGAAGCGCCCCGGCCCCCGGATCCCTGAAAAGCAAGTTCCTCGCCCGCCGACGCGCACAGCGCCCGCGGGAACCTCGGCCGTGCGGGTGCGCCCGCCCCGCACTCACCCGGGCGCCGCGGCCCCGCCTCGCGCCCCGACCCCGGCTCCGGGCGCCGACCAGACTCGCGGCGGGGTGGCCGCCTCGGGCACCTGCCGCCCCGACCCCGGGCGACCGCCGAGCCCCGCGCGCTCCGGGACGGGCACGGGCGGAGGTCTGCGCCCTGACCCCGGGCGACCGCGCGGCGGCGCCCACTGCTCCCGGCGCTCCGACCAGGAAGTACCGCGGCGGGACCCGACGGCTCTCGAGCGCGCACGCCCCGTGGGGACCCCGGCCGGAGACGGGCCAGAGAGCGCCGCCTGCTGGCGGGGCGGCGGTGTCCGCGGGCGCGCAGGGTGCCGGGTGGAGGGTCGGGGAAGCGGGAGCCTCCCCCCCCCCCCCCCCCGCCCCTGGCTTTTAGAGTAACCCCTCTTCCCCCGGCAGGCAGGTCTTGAGACCCCAGCCTCTCCAGAAAGGTGGGCAGGGGGCGTTGGGTCCTGGTCTCATTCCCTCACCACAGCAAATTTAGACGTCGGTAGCTGTCTTCAGAGGCGCACAGGGGGACACAATTTGCAAAGAGCGTGCCACTAAACGACCGCCTGTAGTGCAGGGGGAATGCAGTCTTATAAATAAAAATCTGCAAATAGCACATTTGCAAATAACATACTTGTATTTTTTTTTTTTTGCTTCAACAGTGCTAATTTGTTATATTTATTCAACAAAATTTGTTGAATACCTACAACTTGGCAGTCATTTAGACATTTAAAATATGGCACAGTTCCCACCTCCTCCTCATCTTCCTGTGGAGCCTTGAACAAGGGTAATGGCCTGGACTTTTCTTAACCTCCCAGAAAACCTCACTGATCTTACATAGAACCCTGCCTGAGGGTGCAAAAAGAACCAGACTTTGATAGAAGTGGGTGCTAGGAGAAGTAGGCATGGTTTGACCCAACCACGGGAGCTCAGAGGGGAATTCCTGGAGAAAAGAAGACGAGGTGAGTGAGGAACGGCTGTAAGATTCACCAGGATGTAAGGTATTTCAGCCAAAAATCTGTCGTGGGCAAAGCAACAGCAGAAAGCATGTTGTAATAGAGGAGTGGCCAGTGAATCACTATCGTTGAGAAAGAGAAAATGTGAGCCAAGTTAGGGCAGGGGCTTGCAGGACAGATCTTGCTCCTATTGTTATAGGACAGGAAGAGGGGTATCCCAAACCCCGCAAACCTGCCTATTCTACATGGGTTCTGCCATCCGCTGAATCAACACAAAACATAGGAGACTTTAATGGGAAGAATCTTTAATAAAACTAGGAAACAATACAGGTAAGGCAAAGAGTCTAGTTTCTAAATGAAGCATCCAGAGTTACCCGTCCCCTCGTGGGTAAAAGTCCATCCAAATGGGATTGGCCCAGAACAAGGCCCCAAAGCCTGCTACAAGTCTAAAGCATCTTCCAGTGGGGACCCACAGAAAAGGGTCACAAACAACAGGACAAGCCCGGAAGGAAAAGAGCAAAATCAACATCAAGATAAAAGCTGCCATTGTCACCTCCCCACGGGTCTCACCCACATCTGTGTCACCCAATCCACGACCAAAAGACGAGCGCAGTTTCTTCACGTGTCTCTAGGCTCCATGCGCCTCCTCCAGGTCTCCTGGCTCTATCCTGCTTCCTCCTCAGTCTCTTCTGCAGCTTCTCCTCTTCCTGCTCAGCTCCACCCTCCCTTGGGTGGGGCAGGGAACCTCCCCCTTTCCTGGGGACCACCCTGTTGCAATCCCCCCTTTTAATTTTTATTCCACCATATCTATGGTGGCACAGATCTCATGGTGTAATCTTAGGAGACAGTCTTTTCAGGGTTACAATGTGTGTAAGAGAAGCAACAATTAGTCAGCAGCATTGTCCATGAATGTACAGTATGACAGTTTCATTACTTAAAAATAGTCCATTATCCAAGCCAAAAGAAAAAAAATCTGGAGAATTGGCTAAAACAAGATAGCAAATATATCAAAATCACAGGGGAAAAAAATCTTAAAATGGTTCAACTGATGTAAAACACAAATTTTCTCAACCTTGATCCCAAACTTTTAACAGCATAGCAAAAGTTTGCAAACTAAATCTACTTTTTAACCATTTTTCCTATTTTTGCATAAAATCACAGGGCAGAAAATAACTAACAGCAATTTTTTAGCTGGCTTTGTTGAAATACTCCATACAGGATCAGAGCGAACCGGTGGCATCCAGTCGATGTAGGCTTCAGGTACAAAGTTGGTCTCATCAGACTCCACCTGGGCTTTCCTCTTCTCGAGGGTACCAGGGCTTTTTTGTTGGCCGGGTTGTCCAGTCCTGCCAATGGAGGCAAGCTTCCTCACCTTCTTTGGAGGTCTCTGGAACCCTACAGACAAGGCAAACAGGTTCTCCTCTTCTTGGTTCAGCTCTTTTTCAACTTTCTGGAAGAACTCCACACAAAGCCACACAATCAAACTCACGTCCAATTTTTTGTTAAAACAGACAAAATCCCTATGGAAGTTATGCAAAAACAGACTCTGAAATAAGTAGCAAAAATTACTACCACTATTTGTATGCTGTGTTGGTATCAAGGGGAGAGAAAATGTGACAAGTTAGCTTTGCTGGGAAAAAAAAATTATTTCCAGGTCTATTCAGTCTTTTGTAGGAAAGTTTTTTACTCTCAACAGTTCCATCAATAGGAATCTGTTGAGACCTTTTCTCCCTAAATTTCCAGAAACAATTTCTGTAGATGTGAAACAATTGAATTATATAATATTACAAGGTGACAATCACCATTGACAACTTACATACATACCAGATACTACTGTTAACATTTTGTACATACCAAAGTTTTACCATTTTCCCAAGTGACAGTGCTTCCCTTCCAGTTTTACTTCATTAGGTAAAAGCCAAATAGAACAAATTCATGTAATGCCTTCCCAGGAGGAAAAGGAGAAACTTTGTGGAGTGTCTCAGGAGCTCTACTGAGGTTCCACAAAATTTCCTTGCATCAGTCAAATGACAGGCTACCAAATTTGTACTTGAATTTAGATTTCTGGGAAGCTTTGCCATAAATATCAGAAAATTAACAGAAACAATATTCAATCTCTATGAAGGCACCGGCTTAGTTCAGTAGCACAATGTTGACAATCAAACCATAACTTTTTGTTTTTCTCATAACTGGAGACTCTTTTTTTTTTTTTTCCAACATCTATGGGCACCATGTATACCAATTTGTCGATCACTGGAGGTCAAGACGGTTAGACACAAGGACATACAGACAGACAACATATAGACACAAAGAGCTCTTTAGTTACCATTCATCACACGTGGGATATCCCATACAACTGCAGTTTGTCTGATAGGCCAAAGTAACAATAAAAAAAAACAAGCAGAAAAAAAAAACTTCAAAGTAAAAAAAAACAAAAGTTGATAGGAAATAACAAAATCAAGATTAAAAACCTTTCTATGTAAAAAAAAAATACTGTCAGCATATGCATGATCCTAGATGTTACTTCACATCTCTAAAACTTTGAAAGGAAGAGATTGGTTAGAGCATGTTAGTTTTTTTTTTTTTCCCCAGGGTTTCTTCAGAAAAAAAAAAAACGAGTTCTTGGGTATCCTGCAACAGTAACTGGAAAAGAAGTCAGTAACATTCAAGTTTCTTTCTGTTTCTTAAATAAATATCTCAAGTCTTCAATGGGTTCACAAGACCAATGGGACTTCGTCTCTGGGTCAGTTCCTCCTGGGGCTTTCTTAACTCTGGAATGATGTACCCAGGGTTTTATACCTGCAAGTTTCAGAGAAGTATGTGTGCTCAACAAGACATCATAGGGACCAGTCCATTTTTCTGACAGCTGGTTTTGGGCATCCCCACTCTGCCAGGTCTTCAGTAAGACCTGATCTCCAGGTTTGAAGGGATGCAATGGTTGATCAGGAGGCATAGAGATCCTTGAGTTTGCAAAGTTATGAATTACTGCCAGAACCTCCTGGATGTGTTTCACATATTGTGTGATCCGGCAATCTTGAGCTATTTCCGGATTGGCTTTTAGAACTGAGGCCTGGAAGGGTCTTCCGAACACAATTTCAAAGGGGCTTAATTGTAGCCCACTTCTAGGTGCCACTCTTATGCAGAGGAGGGCAAGGGATAGTACCTGGTCCCAACGAAGCCGTGTTTCTTGGCACAGTTTCGCCAAGGTTTTCTTTAAGGTGTGGTTCATTTTCTCCGTTTGTCCAGAAGACTGCGGTCTCCATGCAGCATGCAATTTCCAGTTGATCTGTAACGCACTGCTTACTGCGTGAGTAACATCAGAGACAAATGCTGGCCCATTATCACTCTGGATAGAATCCGGCAACCCAAAGCGAGGAATTATCTCCTTCAGCAGCTGTTTTGCAACCTCGGAAGCTTTTTCCGTCTTTGTGGGAAATGCTTCCACCCATCCCGAGAACGTATCCACAAAAACCAACAGGTATTTGAAGTTGCCTGTTGTTCTAGGCATTTGTGTAAAGTCCACCTGCCAGTCCTCAAAAGGGCACTTGCC